ACAAACAAAAAAAAACAAAAAAAACAAAAAAAAACGCAACTTTGGGGAAAGATCGTACACAGACTGAAGTTTAAGACCTTTGTGGGATTTAATAAACTTTCATGGGTTCTGTAATTTTTTGGGTCACCCTGTATATGTGCATAACACGGCCTCTACAGTAAACAAAATGGTGAGATCAATTTATAACATAATAATTGGACATGCGGTATTGGGGAAAATGGCTTGATGTGATTTTTCAGAGTAATGGGCAGATCAAATCAAACAAATGATCAGGTTAGGACAATACTGCGATAAAAAAATTAATTACTTGCCAAATGCGTTTGTATAATAATGTCAAAATTTATATAATTTGTCCATTTGCTAATGGCCAGATATGAAACGATCCTTTCCTGTGCATTAGTCCCCATAAATATAACATCAGCGTTCATTTTCGTTTCAGTTTTTAAAAGCACTAATCATAGTATGGGCTTGAGTCCGTCAGTAGTCTTTGTCTAGTATAAAGATGAATAATTAAATAGCCTTTTTATCCTATTAAGTAGCATGTAGTTAGCAAATTGACATTTTAATATGATTACTGCCGGACTGATGGTAATTGTTCGGTGCGTTGATAGATGGCGTTCGTATGGACGCAAGTGTACTTGTACCGTCCTGCGTGTCTGGGACCTTACGAATGTTCAACCCTCTAAAAGCGGCAGATAACAGCAATTGCTAGCTAGAAGACTGTCCGTGGTATTTAGGGTAGTGTGCTAAACAAATTGTTGTAAGTGAAAAATTGTGTTTTCCTACGCAATTACCTACGCTAATTTTAACAGGTTGTGGAATAGCAGCAGTGGCAATAAGGCAAGGTTTGACGACCGATTACACGCTCGAGGTGTGGCGGGTTTAAAATGAAGTGTTAATCACGTGAGAGTAATCTAAGTAAATAGACGTGGGTTTAAAGAGGACTTCGGATAAACTGGTTCTTAAAAAAGTAGTCCTGTGTTCTAAGAGAAATAGTGACAGATTTTTAAACATGTGGCATTAATGATATCTGTTTCTCATCATTTCATAAACAGATTTTAGAGCGGGAAGATTTTTCTATCTAAAGTGTACAACCATATCAAACTGCTACTTTTTGAAAAGTATGAAAATACTTAAGAGTATTTAAATGCTTAAAAAAAATTTAAACATTTGGATATACATCCACGTTCCTCCATCCTATTTGACGTCTTTGACATCTTTACGTCTTTGCACAAATATTTGGATCCTTTACATCTTGAGCAGCATTTACTGAGTCTATGTAGATAACATGAAAACATCTTCAACTTTTCAGTAATATTGTTTTCTTTAAATGATGAAAAGCACATTATTCAGTCAATAGCTTCATTCGTGGAGGTAGCTAGGTCGTCTTTCCTTTCGCAAACAAAGTGTGTGTTGCCTGTTTGAAAAATCACTTCCTCTAAGATCCATTATTTACAGTTATTCCCGTATTTAAGTGCGCTTAAAAGCGTTTTAGCTAAATTTTGTGTAACATTTTTTTGTCAAAAACGACAGACTTTATAAAATGAATAATTCAGCGTTGTCGCTTAATGGTCCCGAGATTAAGTTAGTGCAACCGTTAACGTAGGCTTAAATAATCTCCGGATACAAAAGCATCTGTCTACTGATTAAAAAATAATCACCAACTTCAGATGGGCAGTCCCAAAATAAACTGGCTCCCCAATTTTTCATTTCCTACTGGTGATTCTTGGCACCAAGGCCAGCAACAACAGAGTAGTCAGGATCCGTGTCTTCATATTTCTATACAGAGCCTGGGGATAGGGGGGAATGGGGGTGGTGGTGGTGGTTTTTGTGTCCCTACTGCCATGGCCGTTAAATGACGCACCCCGCACTTATCTGACGCTTAATCTGAGCCAGTTGGCTTTTAGTAACTCACAGAAGCCAAACACGTTAAAAGGGAAAGGTGTTCAGAAAAATAAAATCACATTTGTCGGTGTTTATTATAGTGGATGTAGAGGTTATTACTATGAATTGCTTTAGAGCAGGGCGTAATGGTGCAATATAATGTATTGATTGTCGGCTTATGGACATAGACACAATAAAATAATCTCGGTATTGCAGTCTATTCAGGTTTTAACTCCAAACTAACAAGTTAATGTACCACCATGTTTGAGGATTTATGGTCATTAAAGTGAGCTTTTTACCCGTTTTTTACTTGCTTTGACGCTTAGTTCAAAATGAGCTTACACTTATTTCACGTCAGACAAGTGCAGTTTCGTAGGCTGCTTCAACAGGCCAAAATATACACACTTTTCGTCACAGTATAGTTTTGACAAAAAATACCGACCCATAAAAATAAATAAATAATGATAATAATGATAAAGAATGACTGCACCTAAGCACATTTAAATCTGGGTTGTAATATTGTCACCACAAACAGTATACATGTATTTCAGACTTGAATTGAACCATTGTCGCCTTCTGATAGTCATGCCTTTTGTAAAGGCTTGTAACACAAACATGGTCAATGTTGGAAAATAGTTGAATTCATCTTTTTTCAGAGCATACCGATAGAGATAAAACATCCAGACAGCCTCGCTATATCGAATCAATTCCTTGGCTGCTCTTAGCAAACATCGCACTGAAGCAGAAGATGCTTTAATTGAATGATATCGGAGCCAGAACCCCCCCCCCCCCCGCAACCTCACCTAACTCACCCCGGTGTCTTTGCTGCCGAGAAAAAAAAAAAAAAAAACTCTTCTCCGTCCGTTCCACATTATTAATTGCTAAAGCCAACAGTTGATTGACTCCATATGTCAATGACGACTAAAAACAACATTATCAAATGTGAAGATCAACAGTTGGTTGATTCCGTATGTCGATGACGACTAAAAACAACATTGTCCAATTTGGAAATTAACAGTTGGCTGATCGGTATGTCTAAGGCCGTGACTATACATCAGTCTGAATCGATTATGTATGCAAACGCGTTAGTTAGGCAATTTCTCTCGCGCGTTTTAAACGATGGCAGTGACGTTAATGGAAGTACTTCACGTTTTAATGTTTGTAAAACCAAGAAAACGTGTGTGTGTGTGTATGTGTGTGTGTGTGTGAGAGAGAGAGAGAGAGAGAGAGAGAGAGAGAGAGAGAGAGAGAGAGAGAGAGAGAGGGAGGAGGGGTGTTCACCATCGTATTTCCCAGAGGATCGCTGTGAAGTTAGGAGCGTTTTAATAGCTTTGTTCTAGAAGTAAGCACTAAAAAATTCATGGAACCTTTTAGAGCTTTAGAATTTGTAATGTTTCTATAAAAGGGGCAATCTATCCGCCGGCTGCCCTAGCCTCGGGGACATAAGTAGATAGGACAAGGGTGACTGGAGATGTAAAGTTCACTGACCGATATTTGACTCGAATTGAAAGAATCCGTCCTTCAAGTTTTCATCTATATGTGTAGACAACTAGACATGTAATACAGTCAGGTCTGACCACTAGAAATCTGGGGCTGTTAAGATCCAAGTTGATACTCGGAATAACTGATCCGCGGATCAAATATGACCGACGCACTTGAAAGCTTCCCCTAATGGGTCCACCTCGGCGTTAAAGGATAAAGCAGTTAATCAACTTCAAGCTACAAGCGTGCGTATTTAAAAAAAGATCACTCACGTAGCCTACTGCTGCATCGTGGGTATCACCACTCGTATGTTTTACACTGGATTCCTGGGTTTGAAAGCATAGACCCCATTTCCAGAGATTAGATCGATCTACTTTAGATTATGGGGGTTCACGCTAAATAGCTGTCAGCCGGGCGGACACGAAAGTTAATTACCCCCTTACTGCTTGTAGTAGGCGGGACGGACATTTAAGCCGGATTATCTGACAGTAATCTACTGAGACTCCTCGCGGGGATAGATCGATCTAAAAGCTCTGGGAATACAGCCATAGTTACACGCTCTGCCCATAGAAAGTTTAAACACATCAATTTCTCAACAGTTACAACGTAAATGAAAACTAGGTCTAAACATGTCCCCTCCCCTTGTGCAACATTCATTTATTATCTTATTATAAATATTTTTGGCAATAATCTTATGCAAATTATCATTTCTATGCCATAATGAATTATTCGCGCGTATGCTTTCAATAGATTATTAGTTTTGGAACACTTTCGTCATTAATATGGAGCGATTGATTCCATTGTATTTTACTAGTTGAAGGCAATGTTTTGTTTAGTAATTTATAGAAATCTTGACAGCACTTCTCATTTGCAAAGAAAGTACATAAATATTTGGTAATTAATGGAGTGATTCCTCAGAATCGAATGTTGATTTATTCCAAGGGCACCCAATTATTGCATAATAACCTTTATAACCACACTTATATATTCTAGAGAGCAGGCCCGTATCGCCTAGTTATTTCTTCTTTTTCTTTTCCTAATCATTATTGCCTTAATTTTCTTTGGAATGGCACAAGTTCCTATGAAGGAAAAATGACTGATATAAGAAGGTGCACGTTCAAATGCGTGGAGCTCTCGGCGGCGCCTGATACTTCAATACTAACAAGCAAACAAAGTGCGATTCAGAAATCTGTTTTATTTAGCTTAAAACCGTGAGAAAATATCATGTCCCAGGTAAACACACAAGATTGCTCCGAGAATTCAAATAGTTAAAAAAACAACAACACAAGATGAATCTGTAAGATGACAGAATTACACTTAAATTTACCATTTACTAGCCATAATTATTCCTGTCAAAATGTTCATGAAACATCTCTTGCAATATACGCCAATTCTATTCTTTACGGATCCAATAAAGTTAATTTTTTTGCCGGCGTGAAGGGAATGATGGCCCCAGAGAGGGTTATCTAGGGCCTCGCATGTTCAGTACAGGTTAGGGTTAGTCGGATGTATCGGGGCTAGTACACTCTGAAAACACTCCGGTTAAAAATAACTGAAAAAAAAAAATGGTGGAAACCAACCGATTCAACCGTTCAATATGTGTCTACTAATAGTCTAACTAATATTGTCTAACTAATAGTCCGGTTGATGTAAAAAATTAATGATCGGTAGGTACACTGACTGACTGACTGACTGAATAATAATAATAATAATAATAATAATAATAATAATAATAATAATAAACAAGATTCAACAAGTTTGTAGAATTACTTTATAGTCTTTCGATATTCTTGTTAAATGTCCTCAGTTCAGTTGTACAATAACCAATCCACACGGTAACCATGTTGACCAATCGACTGATTGACCAATAACCGAATAAACTTGTTTGTAACTGATTTATAGTCAACCGATTTTATCGGAAGGGTCGGTAACCGATTCGTTTTTAGAATGTACAGTATATTGGAAGAATGTCACCGGTGCAAAGTAATGGGGACTAAAGTTTCTAGCTGACTACCGTTCTTGTCACACAGGCTCTGGTTTCACAACGTTGGATGTTTTTGGTTGTCAAGGCTCACTGTGTTTATTCAGTTTTTGATTTGTAAGATGGTATATTGTAGTTTGACCTTCTTGACTGGCAGAGTGCTGCTTCAGAAACACGCCAATGAAAATTGTAGAAAGGAAATAAGACACAACTAGACAAACATGACATGATGAACAGTGATTCCTGTTTCTTGTTAAAACAGCATTTTCTGAATCGGATTGCTGTGAACTTAACACCATGGAAAAAGAATGGAAAAGTGTCATTTCTGGGCGGCAATTTCACAAAACAATCATCACCTAGCCACTGTGGATCTTCATGTGAACAACCAGAAATCTCTCTCGCCATCCGTCACTTTGTCTGTATCGCTACTTTCATCCTGGCGGAAAAACCTGTCTAATTCAAGGAGCATGTTGCTGCCGCCAGGATTCATATGGTCCAGTATTCGCTTCAGTGTTTGACACTTCCTTGTATCCCTATAGACGTAGCAAGAGGAATTGGACCGACTGGGACTTTTACCACTTCGAACCGACCTCATGGGAATGTTGAACGGGTCGACCCGGACGTAAATTTTTTTGGTTGGACTTCTTCTTACCGGTTTCATTTTCCATACATCTGGCTCTATAGGCATAATGTCCCCCTTTTCAGCAAACTCATCTACTCTTTGATGCCTAGTAGGAGCTTTGTCGTCAATATGTGCATCATTCTGCACGTAGATGATCTCCAGATACGGTGCCACAGAACTTAACGAATCAGCCTCAGCAAGATTTCTTTCCAGGCGAGATGGTTTCATAGATCTACGTTTTCCTATTAGGTTATATGGATCCGTTCTAGTACGCTTTCTTATGTTAAATGGGTCCATGGAAAGGCGCTTTCCTAAGTTAAATGGGTCCATGGAAAGACGCTTTCCTAAGTTAAATGGGTCAGCAAGATTTCTTTCCAGGCGAGATGGTTTCATAGATCTACGTTTTCCTATTAGGTTATATGGATCCGTTCTAGTACGCTTTCTTATGTTAAATGGGTCCACGGAAAGGCGCTTTCCTAAGTTAAATGGGTCCATGGAAAGGCGCTTTCCTAAGTTAAATGGGTCCATGGAAAGACGCTTACCTAAGTTAAATGGGTCCATGGAAAGACGCTTTCCTAAGTTAAATGGGTCCATGGAAAGGCGCTTTCCTAAGTTAAATGGGTCCATGGAAAGACGCTTTCCTAGGGTGGCATGGGTCGGAGCAATTTGTTGCCCAGGATAAAAGTCAGGGTTTTCAGCACTATAAGACCCAAGTGAACGGCGTTTTCTAAAGTTTTTGTGGCCATTTTGATGTCTTTTTCCGAGATTAAAAGGGTCCATGGACATCCGTTTCCCTGGGACAGTTGATTTTATGGTGAATTTTTTTCCAAGATTGAAAGGGTCCATAGAAAGGCGTTTTCCCATATTGAAGGGGTCCATGGAAAGGCGTTTTCCCATATTGAAGGGGTCCATAGAAAGGCGTTTTCCCAGATTGAATGGGTCCATAGAAAGGCGTTTTCCCAGATTGAAGGGGTCCATGGAAAGGCGTTTTCCCATATTGAAGGGGTCCATGGAAAGGCGTTTTCCCAGATTGAAGGGGTCCATAGAAAGGCGTTTTCCCATATTGAATGGGTCCATAGAAAGGCGTTTTCCCAGATTGAAGGGGTCCATAGAAAGCCGTTTTCCCATATTGAAGGGGTCCATAGAAAGCCGTTTTCCCATATTGAAGGGGTCCATAGAAAGCCGTTTTCTCAGTGGTTCTTGTCCTGTCATTTCATGATAGTTTGACTTGTCTATAGATCCTTGTGCTTTGAAGGCGAACGTCTTTTTGGGGAGCAACGTGAAATCCGTTTGCCCATCTTTGCTTTCCAGGAGGGATACACCTTTCGTTGGGTTGACTTCATCCATCGGCGTATTTTCGCCCTTCAACCCAGGGTCATCTTCAACAGACTTTGTCCAATATCGACTTTCGTAAATATTCACTTTTTCTGTGTTTAAACCGTCATTGTGGCCACTAACAGTAGAGTAAGTAGGGTCCTGCAGCTCCTTCCCCAGGCCGAGGTGCGTCAGTCCTGAAAATAACAAAAACAACAATAAATCATAACTCTGATGAGTGTGAAATCTAAGAACAACCAACACTAGTTACTATACATTTATGAAAAGAAGTTACATCAGGTTAGACTGGGATGTTTAATCGGTGCAGTATGATTAAGATGCTGGGGCATAACACGATAGAAGAAGTAAAGTTCCGTGTTTTAGCCAGGAGAGATAAACCCAGCACAAGACAAGTAAGATGATTCCGAGCAGTACAGATTGGTTGCCATTATTCAATCTTTGATGTCCATAGCAAAAGTAGCATTGGATCCTGGCAGGAAAAAAAAATTCATCAGAAGAAGCCTGAGACAAGAAACCACGAGCTCTTATACTTCACTTTGCCGGTCAAGGCCCAAATGAAATTTCTGACACTGGTGACGAAAACGACGTTGAACCATTGATTTTACACCCCCCCCCCTCCCAAAAAAAGTTTAGGAACGAATTTCAAAATGAGAGCGAGCCGCTCTTCGACTTCCACGCTGCACGGAACAATGTTTTTCAAAGGGTTACTGCATGCTGATTTTGAATTAGTATTTGCCTCTCAAAGTGTTAGTGTTAGTCCCAGAGAGCGTTCAGAAATAAAGTGCTTGCGCATGTGCAGCAAGTACACTTTTTGGCAATGAAGTAAATTCTGAAGTGCTTACCATCTAGTTGTTTTGATGTGCTTTGTTTTGTGGTGGTGTTTTAAAAAAAGGATGTTGGTTACTTTTGGTTAATTTATGTGTTAAAAGGTAAAAACACCGGACTTTGAAATACCCCACAAGGCAAAATGATCGTAATATTGCAAAATACATTGAAGTTAAGTGCAGATAATGCACATTAAAAAAATGTTTGTTTGGGCGACGAGTATATGTAACTGATTAAGTATTTTTAATTTCGATTTTAATCAGTCTTGCAAACAAGTCACGTAGCTAGGAGCACGCTCGACGGTCACCTTAATCGGTAAATGGACAACAACGAATCCGAACCAGATTTCTGCATAAAAAAAACTTATTTGTTTGTCTTATCACGTGGTCACAATCGAAAAAGTATTGAGATTAAGCCAAAGACATATCCGAGAATACATATTGCAAAAAAAAAAAAAAAAAAAAAAAAAAAAAAAAAAAAAAAAAAAAATTGGGGCCCCAAGAATGTAAAAAAAAANTTTGCCGGTCAAGGCCCAAATGAAATTCCTGACACTGGTGAAGAAAACGACGTTGAACCATTGATTTTACACCCCCCCTCCCCAAAAAAGTTTAGGAACGAATTTCAAAATGAGAGCGAGCCGCTCTTCGACTCTCACGCTGCACAGAACAATGCTTTCCAAAGGGTTACTGCATGCTGATTTTGAATTAGTATTTGCCTCTCAAAGTGTTATTGTTAGTCCCAGAGAGCGTTCAGAAATAAAGTGCTTGCGCATGTGCAGCAAGAACACTTTTTGGCAATGAAGTAAATTCTGAAGTGCTTACCATCTGGTTGTTTTTTGATGTGCTTTGTTTTGTGGTGGTGTTTTAAAAAAAGGATGTTGGTTACTTTTGGTTAATTTATGTGTTAAAAGGTAAAAACAACGGACTTTGAAATACCCCACAAGGCAAAATGATCGTTATATTGCAAAATACAAAAAAAAAAAAAAAAAAAAAAAAAAAAAACGTTTGTTTGGTCGACGAGTATATGTAACTGATTAAGTATTTATAATTTCGATTTTTATCAGTCTTGCAAACAAGTCACGTAGCTAGGAGCACGCTCGACTGTCACCTTAATCGGTAAATGGACCACAACGAATCCGAACCAGATTTTTGCATAAAAACACCTTTTTTTGTTTGTCTAACTCCATATCTATCACCATAATTAGTAATGTAAGCAATGGCCTATCCTACATTTATCGCTTGGATTTTATCACGGGGGCACAATAGAATAAGTATTGAGATTAAGCCAAAGACATATCTGAGAACGCATATTGAAAAAAAAAAACTTGTGGCAATGCAGATGGTATATAGGCCCTTTGTACACCCAGTATATGTACGGTGCAAAGGTCAAGGACAGTGAGAACATTAGCCCATACATGATTTTTTAAAGATAAGGGCCAAAAGCCGTCCTCAGTCAGAATAGACAAATGCAAACTTTGCTTAATGCCATATGACCGAAATTGTTGACAGTAAAGATGCACATTATATATAAAGATACTGTCAGAAAATTTATAATTTGGTCAATGAGCACCACCGACCCTGTATATTTGAGGCATCAGATTTTTTTGTCCTTTATTTAACAAATAGGGAAATGCATTGGGTATTGGTTTGGTAAGTGGGCAATTTTATAATGAACAAAGCTGAACTTTTTTATGCCCTAAAATTGCCCAGGCTGTATTTTTGACACTTCCTTCACATCCTCAAAAACTTTACCGCGCATCTGAAACCTGCAACCGGAACATTGCACATAATTGCGTATGTTTACCAACAGTATACATGTACATGTTGCTATGGCGCAACATGTAGAAGAAGTGAAATTTCACATGAGAAAGTCTACAGATAAGACAACATTTTACAGAAAGTCACGCCGACCATGCAGATAGGACAGTGGCCACTGAAGGGGACAATGAAGCGTGTAGAAACGTCTACAACCAATTTGAATCAGGAAAATGAAATGATAGTTATCAAGACTAAGATTAATGACATCCCGAGATCAAGAAATATTCCAGTTTTTGTGTGGGAGCCAGATAAGTATTATTTACATTCCGTTAAATTCCGAGCGTCAAAGTTTGGTTTAGAGAGTTAGTACACTCCTCTGCTCTGTTTATATGCAGGTAATGTGTTCACGATTTCTTACACAAGTGAATGTTTAGATGTAATTAATTTATCATGTTCTGTTGAAAAATCCCCATTCACTACAAAATGCAAACAATTTTGTAACCATAATGTACTGTCAAGTTAAGTTTTATTATCATTTAAAGTTTAAATATGGATATTCAAAAATTCCTGTCCAAATTTGTGTGTTTAAGTGTTGTTACCCTGGCAACAGAGAGGATAAAAAAAAAAAAGATGTCCATTATGTTGGTTTGGGGCTATAATGAACAAATCATCATTTTCATCAAAATCATGTGCCACCCTATTCTGAACTTTACAGAGACTGGTACTTATTGCTTAGCCATCGAGTGGACAGCCGACAATTCACCCTTTCCAATAATTCGAAACACTTTAATTTTGCAAATTTTTATTTTTATTGTTGTAAAAGGAGCACTTAAAAACAAAAACAAAAGAAGCAAGCATCTTAAAGGGATAATAACTCTTCGTATGAGATCTATATTTCACAATGAAAACATTGTGAATAACTCACAGAAATATAATATATTCTGTTTTACCACAAAAACGGCAGTTATAGCTATTTTTTCTGATATCTGAGCTTGTCTTTAGACCACGTGACCTCCATTGATGGCTATACTCTGTTAAAATCTCTTAAGAGATTTTAACAAAAAAGCAAACTTTTTAGAAAAAAACCAGGGACTAACTTTGAATGTAAAAATGGATTCATTAACCATTGGTAAGTATGGGAAAATTGTTGTTTACTCCAGGAAAATTCATTTTTTGGCCGAAACGAAGAGTTATTATCCCTTTAAGTAAATTACAAGTATTCTACGAAAAAGATACATAAATAACGGCAAAAGTCCTGAAAGCCAACACAGTCAATGCACAATTCTTTCATTCTGCTTGTTGAAGTACACTTTTTTTGTTTCTAAAAAAAAAGAAATTAAAGGCCGGACATGTCATGCACTAACATATGTGTTTTAGACTGGTATGTTTAATTCATTTCTTCAGTAACATGAATATTGTCACACTGTGATACGCTATAACCAGTTAGTATGGTTTTGTAATAGAAACCACATGCTGCAATGTATGTTAAGGCGAACCTCGGCGTTACAGATGGAATGATCGCATATTTTTGACATGTCAGCTTGGTAATCGCAAGCCTTTTCAGCTAGCGGCTCGAAATGGAGCTCACCAAGATGTTTTCTCGGCTGCTAGAGGTGCATATTGTATGGGTCAGCTACGTCGTGCCGTTTGCTACCAAATCCCCAATCTTTCGGGTACACAGCATAAAGGTGAAGACCATTCAGTTCAAATATAATGGGCTTTATTTTCTTTAACACACTAACTTTTGTTTGTTTTGCTTTTAAAGGCAAGTTCCAGGGATCAACAATTCTGATAAATAACCCCGTGTTCCGAAGTTGCCTTTTATGGCGTTCGTTAACAAAGGCAAAGCCGACCAACTTCATAAGTATAGGATATTCTTGACCATCATTAAGATTCAGATATTCTTGTTTCCAAAGAACATCCGGGTAATTTTGGTACCGGTGCACATCCGGGTATTCACGTGTCCCACAAAGAGAATAAGAGGTAGGCATGCACAAAATTTGAGGCATTTTGAGCGTCAAGCGTTTGTGAGGGTCAAACTGCGGTTGCTGCTTGCTCTGATAAAAAATCTTGGCAACCAAAGGGTCGATGATTTTTAATGGTCTTTGCTGGTGGCTGTCTCGAATCCAAAAGTTGCCTGGTTGATTTGGACTTGTTTTCACCATAGCAGGAAGCCATTCCTCTGGCGGCATACCACCGGCACACACTGGATGCAAAAAGATGACATAAACATACACACAAAATTTCACCATAGTTTTGAATGCATTTATTTCGAATTTATTGCATTATGAAAATAGGGCAACATTCTGAATGTTCAACATTTAGAACATGGATGCTTCTCTGGCTGGCACAGTAATGCGAACGCTGGTTCAATTTTTGCGAAGACGCTGTCGCAACTTGCAGAGCACTCGCTTCAGCACCAAGGGGAGCGAGCTTTCAGTTTCGCTGCTTTGTAAACTGGTGAGAGGCTGTGCTCGGTTTTGACAACTAGGGCTTGAACAACAATCTGGCGGCAGCACTTGCTGGTTTTACCTGTTTTTTTTTTTTGCTTTGGAGATATGAGTCCCATAGCATGATGCTTTATAAAACTTCGA